GCGTTCGTACATGAGACAGGGGTTTAAGTGACAGCTGACTTTAAGTTTTTAGGAATGCGCATGAATCGGAGGCATCCCTGTAAGATTTCAGCTCCCTAAATTCTATTGTTCCGAGATTAAAATGAGTGACAAAATCCGAACATACATACAAACACACAAAGCCTCTTGTTAATATGCTTCTTTGCATCGCATCAGTTAAACAATCATTGGCAAAGCGCAACGAATGGGCATGAGTGATCGTGCGTTTTGCAATATTTCGTGCTATAATGAGATTGCTCGGAAAGCCAGTAATGTGATATACTGCTCTTTGAGGTCAAGGAAGCTAATAGTCTATACAGTATTTGGACAGGGGACATTCGTTTCAAATTTCAGCTTTCCAAATTTTCTGGTTCTTGAGTTAGCAGTTTTTCTGCCAAAAATTTTTATGGAGCTATAGGTGAGTACCACATACACTGAAGGGCTGAGTTTGATAGTTTAAGTGGTACTTGTGCTAGGAACATTCCCTGAAAACGTCAGGTTCCCAGCCTTTCTGGTTCCCGAGTTAGCCACATTCGAGCCAAAAACTTTAACGGGATCGTACTGAGAAATACGCATGCCCTGGAGCTGAATTTGATAAATTTAAGCTGAACATGTGCACGGAACATTTTCTGAAAATTTCAGCTCTTCAGCTTTTTTGGTTCCCGAGTTAGCCATTTTCACGGCGGAAACTTTCACAAGGCCGTACGTGAGATTTACACTCATTGAGGGGTTGATTTTGGAAGTTTTAAGTTATAATTACGTTAGGAACATTCCCTGAAGATTTCAGCTTCCCAGTTTTCCTGGTTCTCGCATTAGCCATTTTTCCGCCAAAACTTTAACTGTCTTGTACGCGGGGTCCAGACTTAAGTGAGGATCGGTACACCGGTCCTAGGGTAGTACTTGGCCGGGGAAGCTACCGGCAAAATTTTGTCGCCGGAGCTTGCTTAGGCGCCGAGTTAAAATATCCGGACAGACAGACACACACACCGGAGTCGTCACAATATGCACGTTTTTGCATTTGCATAAAAGCAGCCCAGGATGGAACGTACTGGGCAGGCTCGCGCGATCATGCGTTTTTGTACCGGACTTGAATTACTCAGGTCACTGACTGCACGAATGGCTATTGCTTTACATCGACCTTTTGCGATCACTAGCATAAATCACCATAAATTTTGCAAAGTAAATGTACAATTTCCATTTAACGGTCGTTATTTAAAAGTAACCCAGTTGTTCAGTAAGAAATTTTTCGTTAAGATTTTTAAGTGCCTGTACGTAAGAACCACGCATACCTCAAGGCTGAATTTGAAATAATTAAGTTGCACTTGGACAGGGACATTACCCTAAAATTCCGGCCTTCTAGCTTTTCTGGTTAGCGAATTAGCAATTTTCCCGCCAACAAATTTACATGCCCGTACGTGGGCGCTCCACGCGCTTAGAAAGCTGAAGATGAAATTTTTAAATTGCACGTGGACAGGGGAAATCCCCTTTAAAATTTCAGT